CTCCCAGAGCCACTTGAGGTCAAGGCTCTCCCAAGATTAGTCATTTCTTCATTCATTAATTATATTCATGAGCTTCTAAATATTTGTATTTAAATTTTATGTTACACACAGCATATTTGATATTAGCTCATGAGCAAATTCTTTTGCTGTCTTTGTATTAATGAACAACAAGCCATAATTATATTTTAATTTGTTGTTTTTAATTTGAGTCATTTCTCTATACAATGGGGGGCAGTAATATTTGCTCCCTCCTAAAGGGCCCTGGGTCAATAGGAGGGAATGGGTGTCTGTTTCTCCACACCTGGCTGTCACGTGATTTCTGTCTGGTAATTCCCTTTGCTTAACGTCCGCCCATCTTTCTCATCTTTGGATCCCTCCTTGAAGACAGAATGAGACCTTCCTCTTCCTCTCCTCTATGCTGTCAGAGGTGGGTCAGACAGGGGTAGAACATTTTGATTTCCAGAAATGCTGGGGACAGCTCCTGGGAAGGCCATATTTATACATGGCAGATGAGAAGGGAAAGACTTAAAACATATAGAGCAGTGTTTTTCACACTGTGGATCCTGACACAGAGGATATGAAGCCAATTTGAAGAGAGCAACACCAGCATTTAAAAAATGCAACAAAATACAAAATGCAGTATGTATCATGTGTAGTAGAATTTTTTCTTTCAATTTAGCAGTGATTTTCAACCCAGCTGGTCACACGGGGACTTGGAAAAGCACTGGGTCCCATCAGAGGTTCATTTGGTGTGGGATGGGACTCTGCTCAGCATGCTTGTGTGTACTGGGCCGTAACCCCAGATCCACTGTCTCCAGTCCAGACCGCTGGAACACACCGATCTAAAGCCAGGGGTTGGCAAACGTTTTCAAGGGGCCAGATAGTGAATAGTGTGTCTTTGTGCCACAGCCATTTGGTCTCCGTCTGGAGGACTGTGTTCTACCCTTGCAGTGCGGAGACAGATGAAGACCAGATATAAAGGAATGGGACGTGGTGGCTGGCACCTGTAGTCCTAGCACTTGGAAGGCTGAGCCAGGATTGATTTTGCCTCAGTAATGAGACCCTGACTCAGCAGCAGCAGCAGCAGCAACAGCAGAACAAAAACAAACCCAAGGCCAAACCAACAACATTTACACAAATGAATGGGCACGTCTGTGTTCTAATAAAACTTTATTTGAAAAGAAGACAGTTAGCAGCATTTGGGCTAGGGAGCGATCCTTTGATGACTCCAGATCTAGAGGAAGGAGGTCCAGCGTTAAGGCCCAGACGTAGGCACTGCTGAGGCAAGGTGGATCCTCTGTGCTCCCCCTCCTCACCCCTCCCCACTCTTGCTGCCCTCAGCAGGGAACCCTGCTGGGTACTAGACTAGGCCTGATGCCCACTTTATCCCTACAGCCTTCCTGTGCTCCAGTGACTCTACCTACCAGGCATGTGTAGCGGCTTGTGAGCCCCCTGAAACTTGCCAGGATGGGATACTGGGTCCGCTGGACCCCGAGCAGTGCCAAGTGCTGGGTGAGGGCTGCGTGTGCTCAGAGGGTACCATCCTGCACCGGCGCCACTCTGCACTCTGCATCCCCGAGGACAAGTGTGGTAGGTGTGGCCTCTCCAGACGGGTCCCCCAAGCCCAGTCTCACACCAGGGCCTCCTTTGCTGGGGGCAGACCGTGGCAGAGGCCGCTTTGCATCCTTCCAGGTCTGCCTTGGGGTGGTTCATGTTTAGATGAGAGGGGTCCTCGCCTGAGACAGTCTGGTCCTTAGTCCCCTGCGCCCCCGCATACCCCCACCGCAGCCTGCACCGACAGCACAGGGGTGCCGCGTGCCCTGGGGGAGACCTGGAACAGTTCCCTCAGTGGCTGCTGCCAGCAGCAGTGCCAGGCCCCGGACACCATCATACCCGTGGACCTGGACTGCCCTGGTCCCCGGCCTGAGAGCTGCCCGCGCTTTGGAGAAGTGATCCTGTTACAGCCCACAGAGGACCCCTGCTGCCTGGGGAGTGTATGCGGTGAGCCTGCCTCTCCACGTCCCTGGCCTTCAACTATAAGCTGGCAACAGGGTCCAGTGTGCCTGTTGTATCTGGAAAATTGCCATGACGGGCTGGAAAATTAAACCATCTTTTGGGATGTTCATGGTGGGGGAATAAGAACTAGGCTTTGCGGGGGCAAGAATTAGACGCTGGAGTTGGTATGGAGTGGACAGAGGTCTGGGGCCAGCATCCTCTAACACTCTTCCCCCTGTAGACTCACTCCATAAATCACTATCCCGGGCTGCACCATGGCTGGTTCTTCTGTAATGTGAGGCTGCTGGGCTGCTCTTGGCATCCATCTTGGTGTGCGGATGCTAACGCAGGCCCACAGGACACCTAGAGGAGTGTCCATTGCTCTTAAGACTCTGCAGCCATTTAGGGGGTGGGGCAGAGTGTGTGAGGAGCCCCAGTGTCCGGGTAGCCAGTGGTACTGGCGGGCAGCGAGGACGCCGACCTCCAGGTGACAGGTTGTGTGGCCTGCTGCCCAGTGTGTAACCAGACTCTGTGTGAGGGCCTCGCTCCCACCTGCCGCCCTGGCCACAGCCTCATCACCCACTTCCAGGAGGACTCCTGCTGTCCCAGCTACAGCTGCGGTAAGAGGTTGGCACAGGGGGTGGGTGGGCCTGAGAAGCCGGGGCTGTGCTCTGGGGTCTGGGTCCTGCATGGAGATTGGACGGGCCCTGCTTTCGGAGCTTGCAGTTTTCTCTCCTTTCCTCAGAGTGTGACCCTGGTCTGTGTGAGGCTGAGCAGGTCCCCACCTGTCGCCAGGACCAGGTCCTAATCGCCGGCCGCCTAGGGGACTCCTGCTGTACCTCCTACTTCTGCGGTGGGTGGCTGTGAGAAAGGCTGGGGTATTTGTATGAGAGGGGTCGGGGGAGAAGGATGAAGCCGCTACCCAGAAAACGATGTGGGACAAAGAAAAATGGGTCCTGTGCTATTGCCAGCTCACTGAGCACAAGAAATCAGTGTGTTTTCAGTGCCAGACTGTGGGTCGACATGGAAGAACACATGGGTTCTGACGCCAGGATACCTGGGACTCCCAAATGCTGCTTTGGGCTGGTTAGGTGCCCTGCCCCCTCTGAGAGGAACTTCAATGACCGTGGTGACCCTTTCATTCCCACAGGCTGTGGCGAGTGTCCAGATCCTATCCCCGAGTGTCAGGAAGGAGAGGCACTCACCGTGCATAAGAATACCACGGAGCTCTGCTGCCCTCTGTATCAGTGTGGTGAGTCCCACGTGTGAAAAGGGTGTCTGGGTACACTGCAGGGGTACCAACGGGAGCTGGGAGGTGCCCCGCCTGACCAACGCTGGGTCCTGCCTGAGCATTTGTAAAGTCTGAGGTGTCTGAGACTAATTTGTCACCTGTCTCTCCTGCTCCTGCTGCATGCATCCCAGTGTGTGAGAGCTTCCGCTGCCCACAGGTACAGTGTGGCGTGGGCACTTCCCTGGTGGAGGTGTGGAGCCCAGACCGCTGCTGCCCCTACAAGTCCTGTGGTACGTTTCAGTCAGGTATGGGTGGGGGAAAGAGCCCCCGCCACCATCAGCTGAGCTGAGATCGCCCCCCCCCAGGCCATGTGCAGGGCTCCCCTCCTCCTGCCTCACTCTGAGCATGCAGCAACCCAACAGCGTCCTCCCCAAGATCACGAATGGTTTCTCAAAGTGTGGTTCTTGCCATGCCTGATTGCACGTACAGTCCGTGTACTGGGGTCTTCTTGGAAGGTCAACCGCAACATCAGTGATCAATAGTGAATGGGGGTGAGCTTTACACAAAGCTTTGAAAGCTACTTTAACAAGTTGGGAGACGGTTCTGTTGCTGACTTTGAGATGCCTTTTCCAGGCCTTCACTAGAACATGCGCTATGTGAGGGCAGAATCATACTCAGCTTTGATCCTCACGCTGTCTTTGGAGCACAGAACAAGCCAGCCATCTAGGGAGCATTTAGATCCCCTTGTTGAATGAGCCAGTGACCCAGAAGGGACTTTGTCAGCTTCTCTGGCCTGTGGCCCTTGGTTCTCAAAGCTAAAGCTGATGTGGCCCTTACATGAGCTCCGGGTGCCTCCACTGTGCCCAGTCAGGGCTGTGCTGGCAGAGCCCAGCTGCTGGGACTTACTGAGGGAAAGGCGAGTGTTTTCTCCTGGAGAGGCCCTGCGGATAGGGGAGAGAGAAAGGGAAATCTCCTGGTGTCCTGTCGGCCTGCTTCACCTCCCTCGACAGCCAGTCAGGAGCCTGATGGTCAGGACTGCCCACCTACCTAAGCAGGAGAGCTCCACCCCTGCATGTGGGGATGAGAGGAGGCTGGTACTTCTCTGCCTACCTCCTTAGAGTTGTGACAACCTCAGGAGGAACTGGTCTGCAGCGCAGTGTTTGAACATCCCTGGTGAGGTAGGTTCTGGCCTCTTCTGTTTTTCAGAGTGCGACTGTGACACAATCCCTGTGCCCAGATGCCATCTGGTATGGAGACCCCGTCTGTCCTCACCCTTCCTTGTCTGCTCTCTCTCCCTCTCCTCTCTTCCCTTTCCCCTCTCCCGGAGACACTTCCTTTAGCCTAGTGCTGAGAGCCCTGGATTTCAAGTCAGCACAAATGCCCCAAGCTCTGCCCCCCACTCTGGGCACTGTGTCCTCTCTTTGGAGAGTCAGCTTGGCTGTGCGTCAGAACTGTGCTGAGGAATAAGCACACTGGTCCTGCAGGTGCTGGTGATGATGGTGGAGATGGTAGGGAGGACGGTGAGGATGGTGACGATGAGGCAGGCGATGGTGATGGTGGAGTTGGTGGGATGATGATGATGATGATGATGATGGTGATGATGGTGATGATGGTGGTGGTGCTGATGATCATCACAGCGCCAGCTGCTGAGACCTTATCATAGGCCTGAACTTCCCCAGGTCCTTCTAATAAAGTATCTTATTAATTGTTAGGACAGCTTCAAGAGATTGAGTCTGTGATGATCTCAATGATATAAACAAGGAAGCTGAGATTAAGATCATGAAGCCGGTAAATCACAGAGCCAGGATTAGACTCTCGTGGACCTTTAACCTTCAGGCTGCCTGGCCATTACAGCGTGTGTGTAAAGTGATGGCAGGCTGCTTCTGGATTATGCTCCCCATGTTGTCCCAGCACACATTTCTTTCTTGTTCCCCTTCCCATCCCCTCTTCTTCCCGGAAACTGGTAAAGAAGCTAGGACGTGGATAAGGTGTAAGCCAGGTGGGGCTCTGAGGACAGGATGCTGGACCGTGAGGAGAGTGACTGAGCTTCTGGGTGCTCAGGGACCCCAAGTTTGCCATCCTCTTTTGCCCAGTGCACGCAGGTCCAGTAGCAGGCTGCTTCTGAGGGTGGGGCTGGGCTGTCCACTCCAAATGCTGACTGACTTCCCCTGTCATCCGCAGTGGGAAAAGTCCCAGCTGGATGAGGGTTTCATGCACAGCGTGGAGAACGTGTGTGGCTGTGCCAAGTATGAGTGTGGTGAGTGGGGAAGGGCAGATACAGGGGGGCGTAGGGTGGTGAACCTCAGGTGGGTCAGCTGGGAGGGGCCAGGGTGGGTGACTGGGCTCCCCAGGACAGTCTCTCCTCCTTCACCCATCCAGTGAAAGCCCCTGTGTGTCTGAGCCGTGAGTTGGGGGTGATGCAGCCAGGCCAGACCGTGGTAGAGCTTTCAGCTGATGGCGTGTGCCATACATCCCGATGCACAGATGTGCTGGACCCTCTCACCAGCTTCTACCAGATCAACACCACTTCTGTCCTTTGCGACATGCACTGCGAGGCGGTAGGGGCCACGTGGGGTGTGTGCAGTCAGGAGGGCTGGGCTGGCAGATCCTCAGCGGGTTGCTGCCTGCTCCAGAAATCAAGTCTAGAGAGCAGGCATCAGAGCAGCCTTCAGAGACCCCTGTGGAGAGGAGCCGGGCTTGGGGGCGTGGGCAGCAACAGCAAAGGGACTAAGTTAAAGCCTGGGAAGGTAGAGAGGCTTGGCTTCTACCACAGTCTAAAGAATACTGCCTGAGTGAAATTTGTTAGAATTATGCCCATCTTTCAACGGAGAAAAGTGAGCGGGAGGGAGATCGAGATCAAAAGCAAGGCAGGACTGAGATTCAAACTGAGGTCTGTCTGGAACCCGAGCTGCTGCTGTTGATGACTTGCAAGGCTGCCTCTGCAGTGGTGGGGTTCCCCCCTTCCCCAGGGGCTGCCTCTGCAGTGGTGGGGTTCCCCCCTTCCCCAGGGGCTGCCTCTGCAGTGGTGGGGCTTCCCTCTTCCCCGGGGCTGCCTCTGCAGTGGTGGGTTCCCTCTTCCCCGGGGCTGCCTCTGCAGTGGTGGGGCTTCCCTCTTCCCCGGGGCTGCCTCTGCAGTGGTGGGGTTCCCCCCTTCCCCAGGGGCTGCCTCTGAAGTGGTGGGACTTCCCTCTTCCCCGGGGCTGCCTCTGCAATGGTGGGGTTCTCCCCTTCCCCAGGGGCTGCCTCTGCAGTGGTGGGGTTCCCTCTTCCCCGGGGCTGCCTCTGCAGTGGTGGGACTTCCCTCTTCCCCGGGGCTGCCTCTGCAATGGTGGGGGTCCCCCTTCCCCAGGGCTGCCTCTGCAATGGTGGGGGTTTCCTCTTCTCCGGGGCTGCCTCTGCAGTGGTGGGGTTCCCCCCTTCCCCAGGGGCTGCCTCTGCAGTGGTGGGGTTCCCTCTTCTCCGGGGCTGCCTCTGCAGTGGTGGGGTCCCCCTTCCCCGGGGCTGCCTCTGCAATGGTGGGGTTCCCTCTTCCCCGGGGCTGGGTCTAGGGCTTCAGGCAAACAGGAAAGACCTGCTCACAGGTGGAGGGAGGCTGTGGATCTCCTTTCTGAGCTCCAGCCTTGGGGTCTGCTAGAGACAAGCAGGTACCAGACACCTGGGGGATGGATGTAGGCACGAGGCTGAAATTGTCTTCTCTCCCGGGCCTTCAGAACCAGGAGTATGACCACCCACGGGACCTGGCGGCCTGCTGCGGCTCCTGCAGGAACGTGTCCTGCCTCTTCACCTTCCCCAATGGCACCACTTCCCTGTTCTTGGTAAATAGCCCCTGAACCCCCCTGAGAATGGGCCCTGGAAAGCGCCACTGCCAGGTCCTCTCGGGGCCCACACTAGGGCGTGGTATGTCTGAGCTTGTATACCTGGACTGTGCGTGTCCTCAGGCTGTGCTGTCCGTTTGGTCAGAAGTCCTCACTGCCCACCCATGTGCTCTCTAGCCTGGTGCATCCTGGATTGCAGACTGCGCCCGCCATCACTGCGGCAGCACTCCCCTGGGCGCCGTCCTTGTCCGCTCCTCCATCAGCTGCCCTCCGCTCAACGAAACCGAGTGTGCCAAGGTCAGTGTCTCCTCCTCCCCCTGCAGCTGGCTTCACGTCAAGGCACCAGGTTTTACCGGTGGGGGGATCTGGGTCAGAGTCCTGTGTCCTGGGGCCTGTGATGCCACGGCACACCAAATCCACATCTCTCCAGGCACATTTTTCTCGATCACACCCCATAGCTACAAAAGTCATGTGACCACACATCAAGGCATGCAATCACATTATCAAGTGTTCCAGGACTCATCCCAGGTTGTCGATCACTCCTACTCCATAGGGACCTCAGTCCATTCAGCACGCCAGTGCACACACCGCACACTGACACACTTGCAGATAGGCACACTCTTGCACATATGTGTTCCAGGCTTCTACATGCATGCATAGTTTAGTCCTGTGGTGGGATGGCATGCTTCCAGCCTGGTGTGGAGGGCTATCAGTGTGAACACAACTGAAAGAAGAGGATCCCTGGAGGACTAGGGGGTTACAGTTGAACTCATAAGGTTCCCACGATTAATAATAAGACATTTAACGACTTCTGCCTCTTTGGGTAGCAGGCACCCAGGGCTGTGGTCCAGTGGGTACAGTGCTGCTTAGCATGCAGGAAGCCCTGGGTTCAGTCTCTCATGGAGCTCCTGCCATGGGAGGACTACCTTAGCCTCTTTATGTATTATTTAGTTGGTTTTTTTTTTTTTTTTTTTTGGAGGCAGGATTTCATTTTGTATTCCTGCTAGCCTGGAACTGACTCTGTAGTTCAGGCTGCCTAGAATTTGTAGCTATCCTCTGGGATTACAGACCAGCTCTGTTTTTGCCTGTCACTGGGAAGCTGGCTCCTGGCCTGGAACAAGGCTTTCCCACCCACCCCTCCTCTTCCCCCTCTAGGTCGGCGGCTCTGTGGTACCGTCCTTGGAAGGATGCTGTAGGATGTGTGAGTGAGCATGGAGACCCGGGGTGCAGCGTGCAGGGGGTGGGAGCACAAAGATGCCCACGAGGCTGTGTTGCCAGACTGGTATTTATGAGGGCAGCTCTAGGTGGGTAGACGAAGGAATAACCCACCCGCTGAGGGTCATGGCACTGGTACAAATAATCAGGTGGCCAGAGGTCACATGTTCATGAGTTTTGTCCCAGTATAAGGCCTCTGCTTCTTTCAGGAGATGAAAGACCATAGCCAGTCCAGTCAGGAAGTCATTCACTCCCCAGTCATCCTCTGTCCTGGTAAAGACTCTGTCCCTGGTGAAGACTCTGCCCCCTCATTGATTCTCCTCTGTGGCCATGAGCGCTGGTCTTGGAGGTGCCTCCTGAGGGAGACTTAGGCCTCCAGACCCTGGCTGTCAGAGGAGAACCTGTGTCTCACACTTTGCTTCTGGTACCTGGATACTTGGTTGAAACCAGCGTCTCAACCACAGATACTTGGTTTTTTTTTTTTTTTTTTTTAACTCTATTTGGGGGCCTGCCACCCAGCTCCCAAATAAATACACAGAGAGTTATTCTTACCTATAAATGCCCCGCTTTAGCTTGGCTTATTTCTAGCCAGCTTTTCTTAACCTAAATTATCTCATCTACCTCTTGCCTCTAGGACTTTACCTTTCTCTATTTCTGTATACCATTCTTTACTTCTTATTCCGTGTGTGGCTGTGTAGCTGGGTGACTGTGTGGCTGGCCAGGCATCCTCCTCTCCTCTTCCCTCGATCCTTGATCCCTCTTTCCAGACTTCTCCTCCTATGTATTCTCTCTGCCTGCCAGCCCTGCCTATCCTTTCTCCTGCCTTGCTATTGACCTTTCAGCTCTTTATTAGACCAATCAGGTGTTTTAGACAGGCAAAGTAACACAGCTTTATAGAGTTATAAACAAACGCAATATTAAAGAGTGCAACACATCTTTGCATCATTAAACAAATGTTCCACAGCATAAATGAATGTAACACATCTTTAACTAATATTCTACAACAAATGGACCAATCAGCCTTGTGACCTTAGTTCACATGTCTGCCCTTCCAGGATGCTCAGACCCTGTGTCCAAAGGACCATGGGTTTTCAGCTCCTTTATGTCTCCATTACTTACTACAGGGAAGCTCTACTCCAGACCTTGACTGGCTGATCTATGACCCATAACCTCATGCTCCCTGAATGTTCTGTGTTCCCCCATGTGGCCTGAGGCCTATGCCTCCCTCTCTCCTCAGTTTCCTAGGAGGCTTGCTTCCCGTGGTCCCCATTAGACCTACCAATCCAACATGGGTTAATGTCCACTGCCTCTCAGTTACTTCTCTCAGAAGTACACAGGACAGGAGGCAGGCAGACACATGGCTATTTCCTAGTATCCTTTCTAGGTGGCCCCAAGCTCTGGGGATGATGGAAAGGGAGATTCCTTGCCTCTGGTGAAGGCCATTTAGTCCACATGCATGTTGGGTACTGAGCCCTATCTTCAGAGTTTCAGCAGCTCCCACTTATATCTGGTATCCTTACATGTCCTGGGCTACCATTGCTTTCTCCTACTGGTTACCCAGCCTTCCTCATTCCGGTGCCCACAGGGCTGTGGCCAGGGCAGCCCTCCATTCCCCTGCCTCTCTATGCTGAGTCTCAGAAGTTAAGAGAAGGGATTCTACCCAGTTGGTTTCTCATGGGTTCGGTGGGCTTGCAGGACAAGTCCACACCTCTAGCAGGCATCTAATGTGTGCCATTGTGTGCCAGCCACTGGCCCAGGAGCTGTGGGCATGACATAAAGAAGGCCTTTGTGGATGTCACTTTCAGGAGGGGGGTGGAAGAACGGGGGTGCAGGGTGATTACAGGGTGGAGGTTTTGAGTTCTGCAGGGTTCAAGTCATAAAGAATCTGGTGGGGCGGAGATCATCAAAACAGAATCCACAACCACACATCTGTACTGAGGTGTGAAAGAATCTTTGCACTGAGAACAGAACTCGCACTGGGGTGAGAAAGGCCATGTAGATGAGGGACCCAAAGCTTACAAGCTTAGGCCTCCATAGCAAAATTACAGATTGTGTAAATTTGGCCAGACAGATTGTGCCTGGGACAGAGTAGGCCAAGGAGGGGCCAAGGAAGGCTGAGGAAGGGAATTGCAGTTTCCAGAAGAGGGGATCTAGGGAAGTCTCACTGGAGCTTGTGCAAGGTACTGGAGAAAACTGCTCAAGAAGGTGGGGAGAGAGAGGGTCTCGTGGGTGGCTGTCTGTCTTGGAGAGCTGTGATTGGAGCAGAAGAAACTCTCTACTTCCAGTTTCCATGCCTGACCCCTGCTTGAGAGCTGTGGAAACCCCATGGGTCTTGCTATGTAGAGCATCCTGGTTGGTTCTGAGGCTTCCATTCATGGCAGAATCTTGCTGCTAGATGTCCTCTCAGAGTAGAAACACTGAAGCTCAGAGAGGGCCGGAGGTGTATATCCAGGGTCTCCAAGAGGGGTGACAATAAGTGTTGGGCCTTGGGCATGGGGACAGCCTGCTCTTGTCTCAGATCTTATAGTGCAGAGCCCTGAGGTTCTATCCAGCTGTCCCATGGGTCCTCCTCTGTCTTAGTTGCTCAGGCTGCTGCCCTCTGGTGCCACCTCTTTCTGGGGCATTGGGTTAAAAAGGTTTCCCCTTGTTGGAGAGGGACATTAATCTGTGGGCACCAGCCTGGAAGAGGAACACTCTTGCATGACATTAACTACCCCAGGCTAGCCCATCCTGATGCCAGTCTGGGGCACAACTGTTTTGCCCACCCTGCCCCTTACTAGGTAAGGAAGATGGGCGCTCCTGCAAGAAGGTGACCATCCGCATGACCATCCGCAAGAATGATTGCAGAAGTAACACCCCTGTGCGTAAAGGGATGGGCATCGCAGGGGGCGGAGGGGACGGAGAGGCAGACCTTCCACGGGCTCCCTTCCTGACACGCTCCTCCCCAGGTGAACCTGGTGTCTTGCGATGGGAGGTGCCCTTCTGCCAGCATCTACAATCACAACATCAACACCTATGCCCGCTTCTGCAAGTGCTGCCGTGAGGTGGGGCTGCAGCGTCGCTCTGTGCAGCTCTTCTGTGCCGCCAATGCCACCTGGGTGCCCTACACAGTACAGGAGCCGACCGACTGTGCCTGCCAGTGGTCCTGAGGCCTGGGTGCCAGGGCTGTCTGGGTCACCCCTGCCACCCCCATGTTCTCCTTTCAGCTGGCCTAGGGGATTAGGAGAGAGAGGTTGAAGATGGGAGAGAGCTTGCTCGTGCTGTGTGTGGAACGGTGAACAGCACCCACAAGGAACCAGAATAGCCCCCCTTTTCCATCCTGGCTCCCCCTCTGGGTCCCTCCACATGTGTGTGAGAAAGTGCCATTTCTCAGGGCTTCTGGAACTCAACGCTACATGGCTTGAGGTCAGGGAGGAGCTGCAGACCCAGTAGCTGAAGGCCCGTACATTTGTGACTCTGGTCTGGGCTTCTTGGTAGAGGGACTGGGACGTTCCTGATACACTGAAATCAAAGCAGAACCCAGTGCTGGCTTAGGGTTGAGATTTGGTGGCCCTCTTAACATAGTGAAAGGAAAAGGGGTTTAAGTAACATCCTGGCCTGTGTCAAGAGGTGTAGGGCTCCCCAAAGCAAAGAGGATGAGCCTGGGGGCTCAGGGCTGCACATGGAGAGCTATGAGGCAGAAGAGTAGGCTAAACTTCTCTAGCCTCAGAGGATGCCCTGGTGTTCTGGAAATTAGAAGAGCAGGTGCAGGTCTGTGCCTTTGTGTGCCACATGCCCACCCGCAAGCCAGCTTGGCAGATGTGTGAAGGATTATCTCTTTATCAGGTCCCAGGCATCCGTGCCACCCCTCTAAGTAGCTCTAGGTTGCAGGTGGCACTTCCAGCCTTTTCTCCAAGGGGATGGATGGCAAGTGTGTCTGTGCAAAGGCTTACGTGTGTGTTTGTGGCTCAGCCAACTCCGGTCTCAGTGCTGTCTGGGACTGTGTTGATGGAGTGTCTGTAGGTGAAAATGCAGCCATGTGAGTATGCGTCCCAGCAGCCCAGTCTCCACACCAAAGTGTCCCCTCCCCCCAAAGCCAGGGCCAGAGCTCCTGTCCACCTGCCACTCTGCAGATCCCTTCCTCCCTGCGCTGCTTTGTGCTAATGGGCCTCAAAGGTCATGGCCTGATGCTGTTCGGGTCCCAGCATTGCCCTGATGCCCCTATGGGGTAAGGGTGCTGTGTCAGGATGGTCCCCACATCTGCTTTGCCTCTGTAACTCGTATTTTGTTCGTGTACCAATAAACTATGAGAAGTCTTGCAAGTATCTCTGAGGATGCCAGGCCTGCCTCGGACACAGGGGAGGACCAGCTGTGAGGGCCCCGGGGGTCTGTTGGACTTTTACAGTTTGCCTGACTGTACCCCAACTCCCACCCAGGCACCTCCCACTGCCTCTTCCTGTTCCCAGCCTTGCAGCTCACACTCCCAGCACGGCTGTAGGTCACTCCTGGGAAGACCAAATGCTCCAGGCTGATGAGCAAATCACCAACCCTGTCCTGTACTGTGAGGCGTGAGGGTGAGGACTCCATGACTGTGTCCCACACCGTGGGGCCGACAGCAAGGGACGGGGACAGAGGACCACAGCTAGTGGTGTCCAGTTGTCCTCAGAAAACAAGACCAGCAGCACCGATGCGAGCATGCGCAGAGCTCAGAAAGCTGGTTGAGAAGAAAGTCTTTTTTTTTTTTTTTTTTTTTTTGAGACAGGGTTTCTCTGTGTAGCTTTGCGCCTTTCCTGGAGCTCACTTGGTAGCCCAGGCTGGCCTCGAACTCACAGCGATCCACCTGGCTCTGCCTCCCGAGTGCTGGGATTAAAGGCGTGCGCCACCACCGCCCGGCTGAGAAGAAAGTCTTTTGATATGCCACAATGCTTCTAGGCAACTAGTGTAGCTTGGTTGTGGCCCCCCAAAGAGGCACTCAGCGTATCCCTGGAACCTGTGAAGAGGTCTTCATCTTACATGACAAAGAGTCTTTCCAGGTGTGATTGAGATGAGGCAATTAGTCTGGATTACTGAGATGGGTCCTGAGAAAGGGGGCAGGAAGGCCAGAGTCAGGGAGGATACAGTGACCGGAAGATGGAGTAGGGCTCTCTTCAAAGGAGGGAGGAAGTGGGCACACCCAGGCTTCTGGGCTGGTGTCTTGGTTACTTCTCTACTGCTGTGATAAAACACCATGACTAAGGCAGCATAGAAAAGATGGTGTTCAGTTTGGCTTGTGGATTCAGAGAGTTCGAGTCCACGATGGCAGAGCGAAAGAACGTCTAAGAGCTCACATCTTCATCCACGACTGCGAGACAGAGAGAGAGAACTGGGATTGCAAGAGCCTTTTGAAATCTCAAAGCCCACCCATGATGGGGCAGCTTCTCCAAAGAGGCCACACCTCCCAGTCCTCCCCAGACAGTTCCACCTACTGGAGACTAAGATTCAAACATATGAGCCCACGGGGACTTGGTCAGTAAGGGGCTTGCCACGCAAGCAGGCAGGGCTCAACCCTTGACCCACTTTAGAAAGCCAGGCACGGGGGCTAAAGAGGCAGCTCTGAGATTAAGAGCAGTGCTGCTCTCTAAGATTTGGGCTCAGTCCATGCATGTGCTACACGTACATACACAGGCAGAACACTCATAAGAAAACACTCTTTTAAAAAGCTAGGTATGATGGGGTATGTTTGTAGTCCCAACACTGAGAAGGTGGACACAGGCAGATTCCTGGGGCTCACAGGCCAGCCAGCCCTACCCTAGTCATGTAGACCATGTTCTGATGGGGAACAACACTGGAGATTTACCTCTGACCTATGCACGGGCACGAGCGCACACACATATACACACACGCGCAGTACATTCATTCATATACATTACACACATACACATATATACATGCAGACACATGCACATATAGAGATACATACACACATACACACACATACATAACTACATACGCATGCACACACATTCACATACACATATACACATGCAATACACACATACACATATACATATGTGCACATTCCCACATGCATACATCCACATATACACACATCCACACATGAGTGCACACACACATTCACACAAAGTGGCTTTTCCTTAGAGCCTCCAGGAAGAACACAAGCCTTCTTACCAGGCTCAAATCAAGGGCAAAGAGGCTTGGGACCCAGAACTGTGAGAGCATACATTTGCATGGCGTTAAGGCCCCAAGTCTGATTTTTTTTGTCATAGCAGCTGCAGTAGGAAACAGCATCCAAAGGGGGAACCCAACAAAGAAAGCCAAGCCAGGGTGCAGGCTGTACCGCGGCCCTGAGTTTGAGAACAGATACCAGTGGTGGGTTCCTGTCAATGGGGAACAATTAAATAAGCTGGAACAGCCACACTACAGACTAGCGTGCACCCCTCTAGGGTGCTGACGTGTTGGGCTCTCCAGCATATGTTATATGGCAAAAGCAAATTATGGGTAGGTCCCCACAGAACCTGCTCCTCCGTTGCCTGCGTGTGGGACACACATTCTCATTGGTGCTGGTCTCATGCCTTTGAAGGGTTTTCACAGCTGAGTATGCCCCTGCCTGGAGATTCTGGCCAAGTAGCTCAATGGCAGCTTTGGTCCTGAAATGGCAGGACCTCAGTGGTCATCGGTGTGCACAAGAGGCACAGACCAGAGTAGACCCAGGACTCTAGGGACATCTGCAACATCTCCCTGCCTAACTCTTCCTCACTCTGCACAGGACATAAAACTAGACGAATCCAGAAGCCACATGTCCCACTGGTAGAGAAACAAGGGCACAATCTAACGCCGTCACTCAGAGGGTCGGTGGCCAAGCAGGGTGGCTGGCCAGTCTGCAAACCCCATGACTTTGTATTAGCAAACACCAGGGGGCTTCGCGCTGCAGAGCCATCCCATTCTCCTTGGTGCAGGCTCAAGTTCCCTGCCCCGATTTTCAGGGCTTAATCCTCTTCCTGTGGAAATCAAGGAGGACATTGTGATGGAATGATTCACGTTCAAGGTCAGGCCGCAGCAAATTGGAGGCGACATGCTGATTTTAATGCCCTCACCGACAGGGGAGCCAATCCTGTGCACAGATCACTTAACCCTTTCCTCACCATGCCTGTCACTCCTGTCAGCTCCAAGTCGAGGTCCCAAGGTTTTTGCACCCCCTCTGTGGTCTGTCTTTTGCATTTCCCCAAGGTGCTGAGGGTTCGGTGGTTTGTGGAAGACAGATGACGGAGTCAGGAATGGTTTCGAGTTGAAATAAAATGTATAACGTTACCAGCCCATTGTGTCCATGAGAAGCTCTCCCTACAGATATTTTGCACCCTAAGCCTTGTTCCAAGTTCTAGGCTTTCCTTGATTGTCCACAGGAAAAGATGGAGGAGATGGGAAACTAAATTCCTGTGTGTGTGTGTGTGTGTGTGTGTGTGTGTGTGTGTGTGTGTGTGTGTGTGCACGCACACACACACACACGCGCGCGTGCGTGCACAATATCTTTTCTATAGTTCAAACATAATGGAAGTGTATTTTCCCCTCCTATATACAAAAAAGCTTTCAAAACAGGTGGGCCTGAGTAGCTGCAACTTTGTGTCCAGAATAACCTAGACACCCTGGTTCCTCTTTCTGGAAGGTCCACATGGCCCATCCAACTCTCCCATGCTACCAGGGAGCATGCATCATAGGAGTTAGAGGATGCTGTAGTAAATGAAAAGTGGATTACTTCCTGCGGTTCTCATTACATTGTCCTGAACAGAGGCATTGGTCTCACCTAACTGCAAGGGAGGCTGGGAGATGTAGTCCACCTGTATGCCCAAGAAGAGGACATACCTAACTGCAAAGGAGGCTGGGACATGTAGTCCACCTGTATGCCCGGAGTGTCTGGTGGATGGAGTCTTGGGAGGAAACAGAGACAGTGAAGAAAATTAGTTTGAGGACAAAGGAAAGTCAGGTCATGTGGTCATAGAAGGATTCTTTTCTTCTTCATGAAACAGTTAAGATAGGACTTTTAGAGAGAAGTCCAGAGTCACAGAGGATATGTGCTGGTATGAGGGGGGGATTGGATCCAAGTGCCTCTGGCTGGGTGGACACTGCCTGGGATTTTTATTGATTTGTATCTCCAACACATAACACAAAGATCACAGAAAAATGAGTCTGAGCATGCTGGTAAGTCTGATGGTGAAGAGCCTGGACAGCAAGGAGTTAAAAGAGGCTGGGGTGAGTAGAGCTGGAGAGCCAGGTGCCCCCCAACACACTGTGGCTGTGTCAGCTAATCCCCTGCAGCAGGCAGGAGGCCTGCACAGCTGTCTCTTCCAAGCTGGAACTGCACCTTCCCCCAGCTGCCCCCCGGCCCCTTGCCCAGGGATCTGGACTGCCTAGGGACTGGGTAAAAGCGGGCAACACTGGGCAGTCAGCATGGGGGGCGGGAAACGGCCCATCCCTAGCACCCTTGGAAAGTCCATTTTCTAAAGCTAAGTTGCTTTCAAGGCTTGCTGTTCAACTCTCATTTGTCATCACACACACACACACACACACACACACACACACACACACACACACACACATCCCTCTGGTCAGCGTCCACCCTGAGCCAGCCAAATGGGAAGCTGCATGGTATCTATTCCTGCTCCTATGCCTTTGTCTCACCTGGAATGACTTGTTCCTTCTTCCCGTGCCTGCCCTTCAGTACGGCTGCACAACCCCAGCCCACAGACTCCCGCCCTTTGGCATCTAGCGCCCGACCTGCCGTCATACAGTCCCGGAGTCTGCCTGTCTGGGGCTTGCCTACCAGCCTGCACCCATGCTCTATGCGGGAGAGGGGCATGGAGGCTTGCACCGCAGTGATTCCTTCATACACCCGCATCTTCATTCATGAGGCCCAGAAAGAGTAAGGTGTGTGCACAGCTCAAGAGTGGAGGAATCAAGGCTTGAGCCCACACTGGTTATAAGAGTCCCCATCTTCAGACTTTCCTTCTCAATCAGGAAGAAAGCAAGGGGGTTGCCGGGGTCCCAGTAGCTGGCAGGTATGGAACATTGACAGTCACCACCCTTCGTGGTGAGGGGGAGCAACAGGTTTTGCATCCCAGAGTTGGCATGAGGGTCAAGTGAGATCATGGATGGGACAAGGCCAGACAACTGCAGAGGCTTCTGAGCCAAGGATCCCATCCACTGGGTCCGGGACAAGAGAGAAGCAAGAGCACAGAGCCTGACCAGCCCCAGCTCACCCCTATCCAGCAGGCTTTGGACTCTAAGTATTGGCTATGTG